ATACCTTCCGCGTGACTTGTTGCATTCGACATTCGATTCAATATCCTCCGCGGATTTCTTTCGGAATATTGGGGAAGGATTTACCTTATTCCGATATAAATGCATTTGGTCCTACGAGTATGGGGAATCATCGGAGCGTAAGACCGCATCGGTGCTCGGCAAGCTTAATCAATTTCCATGCAAAACCGTGCATATGCGATTACGTTACCGGCGAGCACGTAGATCGGTAACTTACTCTCTTCTTGTCGGTATAGTCTTGATTCGGCGTGGAATTATGTAAACCGCGGATTCGAGCCGTTCCCTGTAACCGTAGCAGTTCATAACGCACCGTGAATAATACGCGCGCTGTTTTGTAAATTACTACGAATTGCCATCGGTTATTTATGTATCCTGTGTATCTCGGTTGGGCTATAGGAGGTCAAACTCAAAAGTTGAAAGCCGAGAGGAGAGGTATTGAAAAGCGATGAATCACTGATTCAGCCGCGACTACGGTAAATCGGTCGTTTCAACCCTGAAAGGGCCGATCGGCATTCACAAAAGCTGCGTAATGAGATACGGACTCAATGAAATCGGGAATTAACCAATAATTTATGCCGACTACATACGAGTGGTTCCTTTGCAATTATAGACCGCCTCTAATTGCGTTTCCCCAAAGTAAGTGCCTTATTCATCCCCAACGACCCTCTGTTTCTCCGAATAAAATCGTCCAAGATAATACAAATCGGCGCTAATTAAATTCGCAAACAAAAAGACTTGCCAATAATTTGGACCGTTTCCTCCTATTACGAGTATCGCATATAACGCGTTCAGATATAAATATCATAAATAAATAGGGTGGCTCAAATTTCGTACGACGATGATAAACTGCCGACGATAGTTCGTGTTTACGAGCGAAGAAATCCTAGTGCACAAAAGCGCGAGCAACCCTACGGCCAAATATAATTCCGATTAATATCCCGGCTCGAAAGTTTCGTCGTAAAATCCTCCCCGCGGGGTTTCCGCAAAAAGCAATGCTCCCCAGGATGTCGGCATTTTTCATCGTCGACAACGTATGCCGGTCTCGGTCGCTCTCCATCGCGCCGCTCAAAATTGCTTCGGCAAAAGCACTTTGTGGATTCGCCCACCTTCCCTGGCCCAGGATAAATTAGAGTCCTCGTCTGTGCTCATTAGATCATCCTTTTAGGTCAACGCTCGCTGAATTCGTCGCGTCGTTCCGGCCAAGCGGTGCCCCTCCAGAAATTCCCTGCGATTGCCTTAAATGCCGAAAAGTGTCCAACCGGACGTAATTAGGAGTTTTAGCCTCGATAACTTCCCCGTCCCCTCGGCCAGGCAGTGTTTGGACTTGAACCGGACTTTTCATTGAATTACAGCGACAAAGGGAAAAAAAAATATTCAGAACCCGACGGGGATAATATATCGGGACCGGAATTATGTGCCTCCGTGGGTTCCGCAATGGGAAGGGACATCTTGAGCTCTGGCTTAGCCATAAGCAGGATCTGTCACCACCGGTTTACCGAGAATTCATCGTCGCACGTTTTTGGAAACGACTGTTGCGCATATGCGAAACCCTACCCCTACGATGCATCCACGACCCGACCTTGCATATCCCGTTTTGCACGTCCTGCCCATTCATCAAAGCCTCTAATGACATTTTCATTAATAACTCCGCACTCTCTATACGTAATACCTTGTTTCCAATCCACGGAAGGCTACATAAACCATAAGGGAAGTAGGAAGTACGAGGCTCCTTGTCGACATGACAGAACCAGTGATATTCACGTTGTTGTTGCTTCCTAGTGGGTTTATCTGGTTCTTTCGTCAACTTTTCTATAAGGAAATAGAAAGTGAGGAGAAAATATGTTTAATATACACGAAGGTGTCTTTTCCGATATTTATTCAGAGCCATTGCAGTCGAAGGTGCATGGCCGGAGAGCACTTTTGGACGGTATTATTTCAGTCCAACGTGGCATTGTTGTCCGACGCATTGGAGTGTTTGGATTTACCTGCGTATGTAGGTGCAAATCGTTCTAGCGAGTACTCGGCTACCTCGGAGACCTGGTCTCCGGGATGCAAAAACCCTTCGGCGGAAATGACGAGGCGAGGTAATCCGGAGAGCGCCCCGGGAAGTCAATTTGGAACATGGAAAAACGGGGAGCTAGAGCGCGGAATAGGAGCCCGGTAAAGTCGAATGTTTGAAGAAGGCTACGAGCTATCGGGCGGATGTTACTTAAGAGAATAATCCGATTAGCTTTCGCTGGGAAGGAAGCTTCCTCGGTACCCTAGGTGCATTTCCTTGTGTCAAGGAAAGGGTAAAGAGTTTATCTCGAGGTCGGGGGGTTGCATCTGATCTGCGACTTGGAACCTACGATTTATCATTAAACAGCACGCTTGGGTCCCACGTGAATTAGAATATACGTCCAAGATTGATAGAAATCATCGCTATGAGGCGAGTCTTAATGATTTTCTAGAATTTATAAAGTTATTTCTGCAGGATCAAGAGATCCTAGATAGGGTGCGCCTCTGTACATGAGAAATCCTTTAGGGGTGGATTCACCTTTGAGATGAGATCGTGCTACCTCGTTGTTGCACTTTCGCATTGTATCCAAACACTGGCGCGAAGAGAGGAACCTAGCAATCAAATAGATTAAAATAATTGCAGAGGGTTATCGACTGGGCTGGATTAAAGAGAGTGAGACGATTATTCCTAGCGAGGAATGAAATTCCGTGGGAACCTTGTGCTTCCGGCATTGAGGAACCGGCTAAGAGCTTATAATTAAGCCAAAATTAGCGGGAGATTATGATCTATAACATCGAGGTGTTTGAGGCAATAACTGGGGTCGTTCTATAACTCAAGATTGATTATCATGAGCGAGTATTTCACGTCTAAACCCACGCACAGGGAATGGATTTACTGATAGCCTTAATCGCGATACTTACTTGTTGTCGCAGACTGGTAACACGATTTACCGCGTAAGTGACAATGTTTGTGACAGCAGCAGGTACGATAAAAACAGGTGTTTGGACGGTTGACTACTTGGACTTAGCATGGTATCGTATAATTGTTGACATTTCTAGGTACCGAGAAAGTTGTGCGTAATCCGTCGGGAACACGAATACGTAAAGCTGCATCAGTGCTTGTTGCAAAGCTGCTTTCGGTTGTCTCTTATAATGGACACAAAGCAAAATATATTGATAGATTCAAAACCGTATTCCCTTTAAGTGGATTTAGCACTTTCGGATTTGTACGCCTACTTACCGATGCTCAACCGTGTACTCGTACACGATATTTCGCTGTCAAGTATCGACTTATGGCTCATCCGTACCGCCGCACTGCATCATACATCCACTACATCGTTACATTTTCATTTATTAGCGCATTTCGCGGTGACATTAATTTTGCAATTTATTTGAGCAATATTTGTATTTCGAAGGAGATTACGCTTCATGAATAGGTTTATCAGTTTGGACAAAATGTGTTTTTACATGAGTAAATTGTGGAGGTAGGAGGAAGTTCTCGATTAAATCGAAGGGCGGAATTATTAAAGGGCTTTTAATACATATTTATACGAGGGAAATAATGTTCTTTTGCTGTTTCAATATAACTTTTTTTTTTGCGCAAATGTTACTTTACAATGAAGTATTATATTTCTTGACTGACTGGAAAGAAAGGAGGCTCGGGTCTCGATACCTTCGTGCACTCCAACTGATTAATAAGCCATTTTGGAAACGGAATTGCGAAACACGAAATTTTCCGATCTTTTGGAAAGCTTCCTACGATTTCCGAGTCGTGTTACGTTTAAGTGAGAATTTGTAGGAAATGCTGAAATGCTTTAACGCGACCAATTCGTAGTTAACTTCGTTTCCACGTTTGAACGTGAACCGCTTTCGCACACCCACAAGCTCGGCTCGTAACTCGTAATAGGATCTACTTTCGCAGTAAAGTTCTTAAAAAGTCGAGGCCACCCGATAACGAGGGTATCTCCGTATTTAAAACGTCGTCTTAAACTTTTAACCGACTATTCGTCGTAGATGGAATGCTCAGAATTCTTTTAGAAATGAGTTTCCCAGGCTTGGCCATTAAACGAGGAAAGTGTGAGACGATGAAATTAATTTCCCCGAAATGCTGACAGTGATTGCGCTTTCTATAGAACAAGACTACTTCATACGATTAATCTGTATCGCGATTATAAACAGAATTTCCATATCACGATTAATAATTATAATTGGATATTTTGATTGTCAGGAATAATATTCAAGTTTAATTACTGTCTGTCTTCATGCCGAGGGATTCACGTGACAGGTAGGCATCGAAACTACTCTATACGATACCGGTGGATATTTGTTCGGTAGCAATTTGCACCAGTTGTCCGTTATCCGTCTTTCCCGACGCCCTGAAATCTCGCGAAGGAACGTCTTATGTACATACATTCATACATATAGGTACTTTAGTTGAACCAATGTAACTTCCAAAAAAGAGGAGAGGAAAAATCGAAGGAACGGATGCAATCCTCCGTGTTCCCCTCCAGCGAATGCGAACTTCGTCTTTCCGCCTTTCTCCCTCTATTCCGTCGTCCTCTCTTCCAGCCACTTTTGCTACCCTCGTTTCGCGTATCTCCCTTTTCCCTCATTCCTCGATCCATGGAATCCGCCGTCCTGTGACATCGGAAGAGCACCCTCCTTGCAGACTTTCGAATCTCGACTCCATCGCCATTTTCTTTGCGAAATATCGAGCTTTACCGTGGTTAAATTAAGGCGATCGCCATTTTCTTTGCGAAAGATCGAGCTTTACCGTGGTTAAATTAAAGCGACCGAATCCGATCAAATATACGTATAAACTTTCTCTTTCCGGAGTCATTTGCCAGAAATTCTGACATTCTCTGGAATCCGATATTTTTTACTAAAATCGTGATCGTCCTCTTGCGAGTTTTGGGCTGGTAAATAATTCCAGAAATTACATGAATTAAATTTTGTTTGACTTAGAGTCGTTTTTTTCATCGTAGTAGACGGATAATCAAGTTGACGGTTCTGGATTAGTGACGAAATAGAGAAACATCAGGAAAATCCTTCGGCTGAAATTATAGCCGCCCTTTAAGCCTGCGTAACTCAAGTAAGATCTCTTTTCGTCCTATTTTCCTCTTCTAAAACCTCCATTCAACTTTTTACGTTCCACTTTATTCGAAGTCCTACTTTACGTCTAGAAGTACGAGTAGAAGAAATGGGAATATCTGCCACTTTGAAGGTCTGAAGTAGAACCTGAAACATATGAAAGTAATTTGTTTGAGGTAAGTAATATACAAATGGAGGACCTAAGTAGGATCAAAATTTGTATGCCGATTGCTTTTTATAATTCTTTCTTACAATTAAATTGAAGATAAAATCGAAACTGTCTGAAATATCGTTTGAAGAAATTTCAGTTCTGAGGTCTTCAATTTCAATAACGCCAACTGTATTCTTTTTTTTTTTTTGGCGGGGGCTGATGTGGGATATGACCTGCCGTAACTTAGGCATCGTTTATTACAATTATCCAAGTTTTCTGGAAGAAGGAAGGGTCCGTAAATTATCATGAGACCTTACTTGTTCGGGGCGGTCCGGGGACGAAGTATTTCTTACATTAATTTATGTATATATTAAAATGAATGTCTGTGGAGAACTCTCCCACGACGCGCGGGTGTTTGTCTAATACTAACGAAGTTCCCACGTCAGATTTCCGGAATGATAAATTTGACTTTATAATAAATCTCCGGAATTAATTTTACCCAGATATACATACATGTACATATTTAGTTTTTCACGAATCTCAAATACGGGACTTACAAACATGTTCCATCCAGATACTCATTTGGTCCCCGAATTCCTGCATCCCTTAGAAACAACATATTAAAATTACACGTAAATTAACGCGTTAGGCTTCGGTATTTTAAAAGTCACTCCGATAATTTTACCAAATTAACGGAACAGGCCTTAAATGCAAAACATTGCGAGAGTATCCTCCCCAATTTAGTTTACGCTATTCTCTTTTCCACACTTTGTTCGGGGGAAAAAATAAAATGCGACACGTTCGAAGACGACACCGGGCCTCGAAGAATCGCATTAAGTACCCCGTGGCTCCAAATGGACGGCGAGATCGTCACCGTTCGATCTCGAACTGCAGGAATCAGAATTCCCGTTCCGAACGGAGCATCCCCTCGGCCGCGCGGGGCTCGCGCACGCAGGCGGATACGCGTGTTTACGTCCAGGGAGGGGTGCAGTCTTGGGATCGTGCAGGGTGATATCATTAGGGCGGTATCTCCGCGTCGGCATCGCTGGCCGTCGCGGCGGCGCGGCGCTCCCCGGCCGGTTGCGCGGCGGCGGCGGCGGCGTCGGCGGCTCCTGGGGGTTGGGATGCTGGGTGCGCGGACTCGTGCGCCCTCGGGCGGACTCGGCTCTCTCCGCCGATCTCTGCGGGGGCAGAGGCCTCGCTCCCTTCTCGGTCTCTCGCCTCGCTCGCCTTACTCGGGAGCGAGGGGCGCACACGCGTTCACTCCTTCGCCGGACGAGGTAGCGAGTGCCGGCCGTTTCCGCCAGCAAGTGGATCGCGCGCGCGACGATCTCGGCAGGAGGAAGGGCGAGGAGGAGCGAGTCGGAGAGAGAGAGAGAGAGAGAGTGCGAGAGTGCGGGCGCGCGAGAGGGACGAAGAGAGAGGAAGAGAGAAAGAGAGAGAGAGGATCTCTCGGCAGGCCGAGGCGCGTCCGCGCAGGTAGCCCGCGCGAGCCGAAGTGACGGTCGAGGCGGGTTCGACGCTCGATCGCGACCGGTCACGTGGCCGATCGCGGCACGCGCCCTCCGGCCCGACCGAGGAGAAGGAGGCGGCGCGGCTCCGCCGCGGTGCGACCCGCTCGCTCGCCGCAGACCTCGTGTGGCCGCCGTGCAGCGCGCCTCGACCCTGCGGCGAGCGTTCCACCGGTACCGAGACCAGGCCGATCACACGGTGCTCCAGGGCGGATAGACCCGACCGGTGGTGGTGTGCAACCCGATTCCAACCGCGCGACTCGTAGTCTCGGTTAACGTCGTGCGCGAACCTTCGGGGTAGCGCGGAAGAGAGCCGCGTGCTTCTACGGAGGGTACCTCTCGACGGTGCACCAGGGTAGCGCGCATCGACGGGGTGACTCGGGCCATCGACTCGACGCGACGACGTGGGACAACGTAGGACGAGGGTGCGCCTCGCGCCGACCGCGGGGACCAGGACTCGGAGTGCGTTACCAGGGCGGATCAACCCCCCGACCCCGATCCGCGGCCTCCCGCCGTCCGGTCGAGGGCGACGCTCCATGGGAACGAGCTCGACCACGCGTCGACCCGAACGCTTCGCCCGGGCAGGGCGCGCGGCGCCGTCGGCCCACATTCGCCGAGGCGAGCGCCCGGCTCGATAGATCGGCCCGACCCGGCCCGACGCCGTTCCCGACACGTGCGACATGGTACCCCGGCCGGGAGGCGACGTCGCGACGCCCCGCGACCCCGACACGAGGGGCTGACGCGAATCCGCGATCGACCCTCTGCCATCGACGGCTCGACGTTCCGGGTGGAATCGAGTGGACGAGATTCTCGCGGATAACCTCGTAGAGAAGGATCCCTGATCTCGAGGGAGCCGAATCCTCGAGTCGAAGCATCGGGTGGCATCTTCCCGATTCCCGTGGTTTACGACGTTTTTGTCATTTTCGCGATTTTTCTTATCGGCCCGGCCCCGTTCGTCTTGTGGGCGAGTGACGTTATCGACGGGACAGGGAAGAGAACGCACGTCGAGTCCACTCGCGCGCGTTCGCTCGACCGTGCGTCCCGCAGGTGCGTCAGGTGCGGAGGGTTCTGCAGGTACCGCGGGTACCGCAGGTGCGTGGACCGTGAGTGACGTGTTTCGGGGCAGACCCCGGTGATATACAGGACTTCTCCGGCCAGGAAACCCGGACTCTGAGTGCAGCGAAGGACCGAGACCCGCATCATGAAGCTGACCGTTCTCTTCGCCCTCTGCCTGGCTCCTTTTGTGGCTGGTGAGTTTAGTTTGCTTTTGTCTTCCCTCTTTAAGGATAAGATGTCGATCGCCGCGAGCAATTCGCCCGAGCGTCGCGCGAATCGATTCAACAGGAGAGCAGAGCAAGTCCAGAAGGCGTTGAAGCGAAGGGGGCGGATTTGGTCGGAATTAATTACCGGGGGGAGTCGTGATTTCATTAAATTTCTTTTCTTTTTCGTCTTTCTGTTTGTGCCGCGTTACCGAGTGAAGGGGCTGTTTTGGCGAATTCAGTCCTACGGTGGGTTCGAGCCTTTCATGGACCCCACCCTCTTAATTTCCTTTACTTTATTTATTCAGCCTCTTCCTCTTTGATCTTTACAAACTTTATATCATCCGCGGGATTCGAAGCACGCTTTTCCGATGTCGCAACGTCAACGAAATTTGGTTAATGACGCTTTTTACGCTTGGAGAGGTCTCCTCTGGTTAGGAAAGGTGGTTGTTTTATAGTTTCATGTATTATCGCGTCGTACTTTTCCGTTTTGTAGTTTCCTGTAGGTCGATTACGGTTACGACTTTTCGAGTCATTAAGAAAAGACTTATGAGAGTTCGTGTCCGGCGTACGCAAATTGAGTTGACACGGATCTTCGGAAAGGTATATCAATCCTTGGGAAGGAAGGCTGTTTGTTTTACTTTAAAATTAAGAATATTTTTTTTTATTTCAATATTTGTTGTTTCTTGGAGGCTGTTATCACCCTAAAGTCTCATTGGAGGCAGGTCTTTCTTCTAACCGAGATATTGGTTTGTGCTTCGTTGATGTGTCCTTTTTACATTTATTTTTACATTTTACTCGTAGAAGCGAAAGCCGACGTTTAAAGTTCCTAAAAATGAAAGGTCGATTAAAATGAAGATTTTGTACATTTGTAGAAACACGACGCGAAAATAGATTATGTCGTCGTTACCAGTTATGTCGGGATTAAACAGGCGTGATAGAAGCCTTATCAGGGACATCCCTGAAGGGTGGGTCGATGACGCCAGGAATCGCCCACTGAAAGAAAACAGCCCACCGTCAAATAATTACACCAAACGAGATAGGAATCCCTGGGGGGTTGTTGGGTCAACTCGTGTGTCGCGCGAGTGGGGACAAAATAGTACCAGTCTAGAGTCCCTAAGAGCCAATGACGCAAAGCAGAGAGACTAGGAAAGAAATCCATTTCAATTCGGAACAACTCGACATTCGTTCGGTCTACGGTCATTCGATTTTCATATTTTACCAATATCTCGATTTACGAATGGAAATTAAATACACGTTGTAAGTAATTTATTCCTCCTCTCGAGAAACGAAATACATGACGTTACCTGAGTCGAAATTTTCATTTTACTCGGGACTTTTAATCGTAATCCTTAAATGGGCCTTGAAATAATACGAGGGAGGGTAACATCTACATAATTAAGGTCCTTAGACCTTAATTATTATAAAATCAGCAGATACTTCCGTTGTTTCTAATTAGAAATTTGAAATAGAACTTAATTCCCATTGGGTGAGACGTACAGGGTCGGAGGTCCGACTTAAAGAGTACAATTGGAACAAGAGAGGTCTTAAGTCACGTAGGTCCAAAGTAGGGTTGAAATTTCGACTCGAATAACGATTGCCCGCCGAATGAGTAGTCAAATGGAGCGAGCGAAGCTTTGAAATCCGGAAAGGGTTGATGGGTCAAATTGGGAGTCACGATTGGGGTTGGAAAAGACTCTGTAACAGGAATCGAGGAATTCCGGGGTAGTAGCGCCGCTGGCGCGAGGTCTCGACAATCGTCGAGGAACGCCGATTTGTCGGGTTACCCACCGACCCCCCCGGACCCTCGTTATTGCGATCGAAGAAATGAGACGTGTAACGAGCGGATTGGGGCGATCCGATTTGTCGAGGGCGTCGCGGCGCCTTGCAAATACCTCCGCGCAATTCGTCTCTCTTGTCCGGTTCTTGCGCGGCGCGCCGCCGCCGCCCGACACCTTGCGCAGCTCCCGGGCGCGCAACAATCGGGACGTTTTGCGCGAGATATGTACTGGAAACTATAAATGGCGACGTAAACCCGGGGGAATGTTACGTGCAATTCCAGCGGATTACGGTTAACGCACGTATGTACATACGCACGCGCGAGGTCGCGGTACTTTCCGAGCGGAATCCCGACCGAGAACCCGAGCCCGATGAGCCCGGCGACAAAAGTCGATTTCCATGAATCGAGTACTGTCAATGGAAATCTTTTATCGCCGTAGCGCGGCGATGCCTATCGATTTTGCGAGCTGATGTTTTCTTTTTTATTTTATTTTATTTTTTTTTCAAGCGGGCTGGAGTTTTTCGACACTTTCGTGGGGAGGAGCGTCGGGACGTTGCGCATTGTTGCGGTATTATTTTGATGAATTTTTTGGTTCGACCGCAGGAACGCGACACGGATTTTGGTCTTGTATGTTGCTTTTCGTTGCATCGGAATAGGCCAATGACGGGGGGTCATTGTTTCCAGGATATCATTTGTACGCCCGTTAAGGTGGTCATCGGGTGTGTCAACTTGTTCTTAGCGCCTTTCTCCGCGGTCGTTCTTTACGAGCCGCCGGCCTGGGCTATTAATTTTATTAAACGCATGATACATGCGTTTGAACGCGAAACGACACGCGTGTAATGAATACTTGTCTCCCGGAGACCGGCGACCGACCGTACGGGAATCATAAACAACGGTCGCCTGTCACATGCGGCGCGTTAAGCAGAAATCGGCCCGTTTTTATCTCCATTCCTCTGACACCTTGGCGGCATTTCGAATACTGGATGCACCGGTACCCGGTGCTCTGATTTTTCATACCGCTCGCAATAAGGGAAAATCTCGCGATTAATCCCAGAACGGATTATTCATGGCCATTTCAGCGTCCGCTCGGGTGTGAATTTATGATGGCACCGTTTCTACCCCTTGGCTACTCCAACTGGGGCCTACAAAATTCACCCCCTGCTTTTTATTATTAATTTTTATTCCCTCGGATCCTCGAATCCTTTGACTTTGACGGCGATGTCTAGTATTCAAGGCGAAGGGAAGGCAACGAGAAATGGAGGAAGGTAGAGCCAGTCTTCGGAGTTGGACCTTGGTTTTTCGCGTCCCGATTTGTTTCCCTAGGTTTTCTTACGTCGCTGGTTTACTTAGAATTTCGAGGCATGACAGAGCACCCTTCGGTTCGTCCTCTACTTTCCTTTCCGGCTGTAGGGGTTGACATTTTGCTTAACGTTTTGTCCTTTCGAGGCCTGAGACGTCTCGTAGAGTTGGGAAGTTGTACGGTCATGTCGCCGTTGCTCATTAGGACGTGATAGGAATTTCGAAGGCTGGCTCGAGCTCTCTCCTCCTCGCTCCCGAGAAATTGAAGTCCTTTAAGGATCGTTTGTTAAACTCCGGGCAAACGTATCGCGTTTCCGCGGTAATTTGCCACTTAAAATGTCCGTCATTTACGAGAGTTACTCGGTAGGAGGAAAGTCGAACGGAATCAAGTTTCGAAGTTACGATACTCGGGAGGAAAGAGAGAGGAGGCTGGCTGTAAAGCTCGGGCATCTATACAGGGCCAAAGTTATCCGGCACTTTACCTGTCCAAGGTGGAAAAAATTTTATTAACATTCGAGCCAGCCCGTGAATCGAGAAGCCATCTACCCCGGGGCAGGGATGAAGAGTCGGCCCGCGGTCATTTGCAAACAACGTTACCAACCCTAACTTTTCACCCTGACTTTAAGTGCATTACACGGCAAACGGACAATGAAAACGACTTAAGAGGGGTCCCATCCAAGCTCTTCTTCCTTCCGGCCTTTAAGGGTTTATCCCTCGAATATGAAACTACCCCACTCTACCCAAAGCACATTCTCACCCCCGTAATTATGAAAGTGGTCCAAATAAAAAAATCTAAGAAGAAATCAATCCGTCGCACATTTTTCACGTCTTCCATATAAATCACAATAACCTGAACTTATTTCCGTATAAAAAGTACTCCGGGCCACTTTCGAGCGATCATCGTCATATTTGTGCGTTTTTTCATGAAGTAGGCACAACCCTGAAAGTCTCGAGATGAACCTTTTTCTTTTCTTTTCATTTTAACCTAATCGAGCACGTCTGTCGCACATCCACGCACATCCTCCATCTTGCGTTGATTGGGTTGAGCGCAAATTGGATGACGATTTCGATTCTTCCCACGATCGGTCCAAGACCAGTGGGCGGGTCTCGGGGGAGTCTTCGTCGAGTCCGAGTCGTCGATGACTACGAGACATCAATTAGAAGTCCGACTACCGGCAAGTTAGCTGGTGCAGTTTCCTGGACGCAGCCCCGGGAACGGGCTGGCGTCACGGTTCGGCAATGAGCTCTCCCCGCTCGGCGGTGCGCGAAATCGGCAATCATCGCATTAAATAGTGTGCCTTTTATCCCCCCTACGGTGTTTTCCTAGTCTCGCCCCGACGCGGGCGCCGCGCCGCCTCGCGATTTCCTTTGCTGCCGATTTACGCTCGGGAGTCCTTTGACTCCGCCGCTCGGGCGAAACACTTATGCCGCGATGCCGTTCCACAATATTAATTAGGACCCATCCGTGGGATAAATTCAGCAGGACGGGAATCGCGTAACGAAGCTTAATGAGGTCGGATTAGCTTTAACGAGCGGCGTGTAATGCACGTACAGTCGAGGTGAACTTCAGATCTCCTCGTAAAACGGATCCTTCCCTACCGGGCCGGGCTACTTCGCGGTCGCGCGTCCCTAGGGAAGACGGCGGGGGCTGCGAGGACGCGATGGCTCCTCTGGGCATGTCTTTATATCGAAAAGATGGTCGCGTTTATGCGCGGCGTCTTCTTTTAAGAGTAGTAAAACGCGTTCCGAGCGCGGTAAGTGGCGGGATGCGTATATATATATATATACATGTATATGTATATATGAACCGAGTACACCTGGAGCGCGCCCACCGCGAATTTTTACCTGGATTTTATCGTACGTGTCCTCGGGGAGGAGGTATGTGGGATGCGTGTCCTCTGAATCCGGATAT